GTGGCTTTTCTCTCTTTCCACAAGATTTGAGGAACTTGAAAAGTTTTGGACTTGTATGGAAAAAACGGCAAACTGAAGATTTGCTGAATGATTACGGCAGAATGAAGAGCCAACAAATCGTCTCTCTGTAAAGCCTCTTCAGAGAAGGAGAGAACCTGAGCTCATCCACAAGTGCTCCATATACTTAATTGTTGTGAGGAGACCGCAATACAGTGGTGTCTGGTAGGTTTACCACTCTGGAAGATGAGAGAATAAAATTCTTGCTCAAACCACAGTTGGTACCTTCAAAAGGACACTGAGTTTGCATACTTCCTTTTCTAATCACTTTGGAAGGTGCTTGTTAATTGCTTTTCAGCTATTGCATTGACAAGCTTTTGGGTGAGTTTCCTCCCATTCTTAGTGAAAGGAATTTTAAATACAAGTTTAAGCACTTGTTGCTAAGTCATGGAACCTGATTAAGATTCTTAAAAATAAACACAATTCCATTTTTATGTTTTAATTTAAAGGATGTCTCAATTGTTTATAATGGCTTCAGTTCTTTTAATTTTTTAAACAGTCTAGATTTTGCGGTTCTAAAACACCTGTAACAAAGGTGCATTATCTAGTGCAACTTCCAATCCAGACTAGCATTTCTCAACCTTGGCAGCTTGAAGATGTGTGGCCTTCAACTCCCAGAATTCCCTAGTCAGTCTTCAAATTGCTAAACTTCACACATCTTCACGTTGCCAAGGTTGAGAAAAAATGATCCAAAGATTTCTACCAAATTGTAATATGAATGTAGCAATAGAAAGGAGAAATTGTTATGTTTGTAAAAAATAATCATACTCAACATATTTCATGTACAATATTTAAATCAAACCTCATTTTTCTCCTGCTTCCACCAATCCTGGCAGTGCCAGTTTTGGGCTACAGCCTTTGCATGCTATTCAGTGGTCAGGTACAGCCCAAGGCCCCCCAAAAGATTGTGTACTCCTGGCCTATAGACAATGATTGATTAATATGATAATTAATCACAAGGATAACAGTGCAGAGATGTAATATAAAACAATGGTAGAAGTATGTATCCATTTATTCTGAGGGACATCTTATTCCCCCAGACACTTGGCTAGATATAAATTGTTGCCACACAAATCATTCTTTTCATGGACATTATGGCCACTGTCATAAATCTAAAGCCAGTTTTAACATAAAAGGCACTCTTACTCTCTTAGATGCACATACATACCCAAATTGGAATCCCCTTCCTATTTGCTACACATAGATTATAATATAATAAGTTTGCTAGGGTTTAGACTAAACTGGTTCACCTTCAGCAACCAATTGGCCTTTCCTGATTTGATTAGCCCATTTGCTACAAAGATTACCTTGAGTCAGCCAAAATCCCACAGCCTTTTTTTTATTAACAAGAAAAAAATACAAATATACTGTAAAGCAGTTGAGTCTATCCTAGTCACTCTAATCCATTCAGCTCCCTTCTCCCTTCTAGCAAATGTGTACCAAGTTCAGCTTCCACTAGACTTTAGTCTCTGATACTAGTTCACATACCATCAGGCATTGTATAATATTTTAAAGAAGGCTAAGAATGTTTAGTATTCCACTGAAATATATTTTTCTACAACTATCTTGAAAAGGCATTTTAACTCTCTTAAGGAACTCATGGAAGATCATAGCAACACATAAACATTGTATATTTATTCCTTGGCTTTCTATACATTAATATTTCTATAGTTTCTTCCATAATTGTCCTAGCAATTTTGCAAATCTATTTCAAAAATTCAAACAAGCCTAAGATCTGATTGTCTATCAATAACTAATCAAAGTTAAGAATGAATTGGCACTGNCAGATGTAATTCAGTGTGTTGATGGCCTCCTAGAGCAGTATTTTTCAACTTTGGCAACTTTCAGATGTGTGAACTTCACTCCAAGAATTTGTGACTGGGAATTCTGCAAGTTGAGATCCATGTATCTGAAAGTTGCTAAAGTTGAGAAATGATGTCCTAAAGAATTCCTCCCATCTTGGGACCTAGACACTAGCAGGACTATGACTGCCTCTGCCTGTCCACTGAAATCTGCCAGGATCACCAATCTCCAATCACATGAGCAAAGCAATGCCATCTTGCAGGACTTTGGAAACGGGCTTTCCTTGAAGCTATTGCTTGCCCTCTGGAACAACATTCCCCCCCCCCACAAAGCCCTTATGATTCTGACCATGTGGACATTTAGGAAAGTAATTAAGATCTAGCTTTTATCAACAATCCCCATAAGAAGACGATTTGTAACCCTGCTGATGTGTATTGTTTGTATTATTGCTTCCCAATGTGGATGGTTTTTGTTTGCTATTTTAAACTGTTATTTTATCTTTACAAACCACCTAGTGTTTTTCTGGCAATTAAGCCAGCATTGTTTTTCTTTTTAGCATTTGCCCTGCTTAGTTGTAGGCTCCACTTTGCCTACTTCACACAGTGAAGCCACCAATGCACAATGCAAAAGGGTTTCTTCTGCAACTGCCTTGTATGTTATCTCCTGAAGGACATACTGTATAGCTTGGGAACAGTCTTAGCCCCGCATTTCTCCTCACACAGCAATTGTGTCATGCTTGGAACTGGGCTGCAGAAATAGCAGTTCTTACCTCAAACCAGCCCAGCCAACATAGGTATTTCTCATTTCTAATGTTCTGGTTTAATTTAACACACACTGGGATAATGATAAGTGATCGATACTGCTCCCACAACGTATTTTAATGGATCAATGACAAAGGTTGCTTATGTGTTGCTGCAACACCAAAAAGGGATATATTAACCCACTCAACTGTAGAGATTCTCAGTCATCCAGGTCATGGTTGTCGCAGAGGTGCTTTTTCAGGAGGTAACTGGACTTTCTTGTTTTTCTTTGAAGATGTTTCGCTTCTCATCCAAGAAGCTTCATCCGNACTGCTTAAGCAGGGGGGTTGACTAGAAGACCTCCAAGGTCCCTTCCAATTCAGTTATTCTGTTAATCTTTTGCTTGGCAGATTGCAGCAAGAGAAGAATTAACACTTCACACTTACCACACCAGGATCCCAATCTGAGACAATCCCGTCACTAATTATTTCTCTAATACACACATAATCTGTACTCAAGATAACAGATTGCCTGATCCTCATAAATAAGATCTAAGGATTACATCCATCTTCTGTAAATTCAGAATCACAGAAATCTCTCTAGCAATTTACTTGTTCTTATCTCACTAACAAGGACAAAATTAAAAAAGTGTTTTCCTTAGCTACGTATAATGATGCTAATGCTGATTTTGAGTGTGGTATTCTTTCTTAACTGATAATGGATAAATATGTAACATTTCTGAAGAATCAACTAGGACCAGAAGACTGTGGGATATTTTCCTTCACTATGTTTTTAGCCCTTTATTCCATATATGCATGCATTCGTTTATTTAGCATAAATCATATTTATTTATTTATTTATCTATCACATTTATATTTTGATACTGTTAACCATAAAGAAATTCAATCAGTTGTGAAGGAGACACAACATATGTCCATATGCGTACACCAACACAAGAAAATTAAATTATTTTAGAAATAAAAAGAACCTACACCAAATATTGAGCCATCTTCTGATGAGGGTCTACAGTAAAGGCTGGAAATTTTTTCTGCTCTCATCAGATATTCTGAAGTCTTCCTCTTCACGGCTTCACGACGAGTTGGACTTGATTCTCCTGTGTACCATAAAGGGATATATTTATAAGCCTGAAACCTCTGCAACAATTTCTTTTTCAGTTATGATCTGAGAAAAGTGGTCACAATAGAAGTTTTAATGCCTTGTTGCTCCTATCACCAAATGGCTACCACAGGATGTTCATCAAAAAGTGGCTATTGTAGTAAGATATTACATCACTAGAAAAACATCCATGATGTCTGAACACCAAAAATACAAAATAATGCTACTGAATCCATTTTTTCATGTAATAGCATCCTATTTCACAGAAAGTTTATGGAAAAACTTTCACCCTCCATTCCAATCATGCAAGATCTACTTAGCCCAGCCTTTACTTTTTTCCCTATAACTGTTCTACAGATTCCCTAATATGATCCACTATAATGTGTAGCTCTTCCAATCCTAGATCCTGTTTAAGTGTTTTCTCTTCCCACCTTATTTTTATTTGTTTATATATCAAAGTTTAGAAACTGCCCATCTCACTCAGATCTGCAAGGTCGCTTACATCTCACAGAGTTGTGAATTTGATATATATCTCTAAATTTTATAGAAAAAAATATATAAAAATCTGATACAGATAGTCCCCAGCTTACAACAGTTTATTTAGTGACTGTTCATAGTTACAACAGCACTTTTCACACTTACGACTGTTGCAGCATCCCCAGGATCACATGATCAAAATTGAGACGCTTATGAACTGACTCATATTTATGACTGATGTAGTGTCCCGGGGTCATGTGATCACCTTTTGCGATCTTCTGACAAGCGAAGTCAATGGGAAAACCAGATTCACTAAACAACCGTGATACTAATTTAACAACTG